ATACCGATCTTATTATGAAACATTACCAGTGCTGGGCTTTCGTTCTAGGCTGATAAGCGTTTTTTTATATCACAGTAATACAACTTAAGACAGTATCATAGCGATCATACATACATGAATTTAGGTCTCTGTTACTTTTAGCAAACATCCACCTAGTTATCAGTCAGTGATTATGGAGCTAAAATGCATTTCCAAACATTTATTATTGTAAAATCAGTAAGCTGTAGCATTTCATGTAGCATGCTTCTTTTTGAAATGGTTCTGCAGAGATTGGTTAAATTTATCTGTAGCATTCATCAGGACATGCGATTCCCAACGGTTTAGTGGCTATATTCTCGCTGTATGACCTCGGTTCGTACTCTGGTTGGATCCTTTGAGGAAATGCTAGGAATACCTCGATGCAGACCCACATGCGTGGCGAATATGGTAACGTCGACATGAAGAAATTCAGTACTAATTGAATTTCAGAAATTCTGGAACCCAGTAAAGAAACGTACGACTATGATTTGCCAGTTCTCAACTTTTAGTGACGTTTTACGAATTTACTGACTACAAAGTGATATTTTAGCACAAATTATGTCTTAAACCGCAAAAAAAAACATGGCAGAGTATTCCCAAGCAATTAAATGCATCTTAGTGGTCCAGTTGGTTAAGCGATCGCACGCGAGACTGAAGGCCCTAGGTTCGGATCTCGCGAGCGTGATCGTGGATGTGCACTGCTGAGGAGTCCCGAAATAAGACGAAACGGCCGTCCAGTGCTTCCAGGTTTCCAAAGGTGGTCTAACACCAATCGTTCATGATCTCAATCAAAAACTTAATAATCTCCACAACCCCTATACTAGTAATGAGGTTTTTATTCATTTAGCCCCCAAATGCCTTGGTATGGCTGAGAGTGGAGTGGGCCCGCCCTTTTTCTCGAAATGTTCTCACACGCCCACGCGTATACAGCCTCTGCCAAGGAAGTCCTACTCACTGCCTTCTCGTGGCAGGGGTGTTGTTTACAAAAATGAGAGGACGAAAAGTGAATGTTCGGCGCTTTAACCGGATTCCAAACCAATGGTGCACATGGGCTACAGTATCCTGCGGGAACAAATGGCGTATGAACCAATTGTTGGTCACCGGCTACCAAGGGACTGCATCTCCTCACGATTAATTCCATCGTACACCATTCAAGCATGACCCAAAACTCATACAGCAATATACTTGGAATACCTGACTGCATACCGACACAAATCATATTGCGTGTATAAATTAGTCATGAGTGAAATAAAACCGTAGTAATGGAGAAATAATTAAGTGATGAAAAATTCGAAATACATGACAACGAAGGCTTAGAAATAGGCAAATACAAAAATCCGAGAGCTCACTAATTGTACAATACAAATATAGACCACAACCGTACGTCAGTTATGGGAGTGTAAACTTCCACAAATCCTAATCGACACGACATTTCGATACGTAAACAAAACAAGATATATATTAAAACTATAAGTGGAAAACTGAAATACCACTTTGTAGAACTGGTTACATAGTCCAATTCACCAAAACAATCAAGCTTTCGTGCTCCATTCACTTAGATATTTTATAGAGGTTACTGAAGCAATATTCGTAAAATTGGGTCACGGCATCTTATGGATTCAGAACTTAAACATATTTTTATAATTTCAATGGTTAAGATCATGAGTCAGTAGAAGCTAGACCACCATGGAAAACCTGGAAGAACTGAACGGCCGTTCCGTCCTATTGTGCGCATTCACGACCTCGCCCCCTGCGAGATTCGAAACGGCCGTCCAGTGCTTCCAGGTTTTCCATGGTGGTCTAGCTTCAACTGACTCATGATCTTAACCATTGAAATTACTATAATATCCGCAAAATCCATCTGATATTTGTTAGGGATGCAGAGGAACATACCAATCATTATCATGTTAAGTCTAATGATGTCCTTGGACTTTAAATGGACACTTCCTATTGGTCGATATTTGTTCACTTGTTAAATATTGTACAAAATGTTGTTTTCTATTTTATGGTACGATGTGGTATACTTGATTAGTATATAAACAGAGCGTGTTTGAAATATAACGATTCATGTCTCAGGGGTTGTGACTTGTGTTCTGGACTCAACTGGCTGGGCTAGACAGGGAGGCGGGACCAATCAGGACACTAGGTCGTTCGTACGTGTTTTACGTGTCACTGATTCGATCTGTAGTACACTGCTCTCTAATCTTTTCAGTCAAGGACGCAACAATTGGCACGGGGTATAAATCGATCCAAGTTTAAAGTCACAACAATCTTAATATTTTTATAAATCGAATTCCTGAATTTGTTTATCCGAGCTACCTTGATTTATAGGACGAATGAAGTTAACTCATGAACTCCAACTACAGTGGTAGTGAGAGTAAAATGTCGTTGGTCGTTGAGCGTAGACAAACAGGCAATTAGCTTACTGACTATTGAATATGTGATTCCCTTTCCTGATATTGATTTCTAGTCCGGACTCGCTGAGAGTGGTTACTTTTTCTTGTGTTGAATGAAGCAGTGTAGTCTGTACTCTCGTTCTCTATTATGGTCGTGAATCCTTGTTTTGATATAAAGTGACTAGTCTTATTAAAATATTTTTGTAGTATACCTGTAAGGGAGAAATATTTTGAACAATTTGTTATATCACCAAGTTTATACATCTAAGTAAAAGATATTTGTCAGTAAACGGGGTTTAAGTGGTATATTGTAGATAAACACAGTTCCTAGTTTTTAAATGGACTTTAACTCTACGACGGCCAACTCAATCGGTTGAATGTGGTAAGATCGAAGTTTCATTGAGCCAATTAAACAATCAATTCACGTTGAGTGGGACCGATTAGCATACCTAACGTCATTTTGTTACTCTGTATAACTGAGAACTTATTTTGGCAAGTCATCCATGCTAGTTCTTAAAACGTTATATTTAAAATAAAAAAAGTTCAATTAATGCTCTCCACGACCCCAGACAGTTATAATCTTATGCATATCTTTCAGGATGTAATTACTCATTTGAACTGAATGAGTCTCAACAGTACTAATCCACATTTTAACAAATAGGAGAAAGACAAAGACTGAAAAAGAAATCAAAATTGGAAATAATGTAGCTAAAGTAGAAATATATTTTATAAGTTGGTGTTAATTGTATTCCAGATTATATATATATATATATATATATATATATATATATAAAATAAAAGTTTAACAAAATCTTTCTATGAGTCCTGTTTAACAGGTGGTCAACATGCTTTAAAGCAAGAACATTTGAATTCACAAGTCGTAAGAACAAAAGGATCAACTGTCAAGAGTTACAATGTGCTGTTCAAAATGATTACATCTACAGTTAGGTTTTTTGATAATTTAAACTTTTCAAGAAGTTTAAACAAGAAGAAAATGAAGCTAAACCATCAAATGAAATGAGCGCAAACAACATAAACGCAATATGACTCACTGTAACGGAGTAATGAAATTACACATGAGAAAGTTAACGCAAATGCATCGAATTGTTTGGTTGCCGATTAGAAAAAGACAACCACAAATAATGACACGTTATAAAGAATAAATGTAAATCTGATGGAACTTGAAATTAAGTGACCTAAAACGATATACACTTTTGTTTGGAAATTCGATTCAAGAAACCAGTAGTTGTATATTATTATTACTATTTAGAACAGCCAAAATAAATCCTGATATTGCACAGACTAGAGTTGAGGACTAGTTTTTGTAATTCGTATCACAACATTAAAACTACCTACACTGCCAGTAACATTGGAAAGTCTATGATCTATTACATAGAATCCGATAAAGTGAATCATTATCTATTGAAATTCTCTGATGCATTAAGTGAATCCCATTTGATCATATAGAAGGTTATGTTAACAAACACTTGATGGTACTACCTGTTATGATAGGTGGTATCCGAAATCTGATACTGATACACGATATGACACACAGTATCCCCCCCAACTGACTACTTTGAGCGACGACATAAGAGTGAACGAGAAAGTATATTGGGCTATCCAATAAAATGCACAAATACTCATTATATATATAACTATCCCTTAGAAAATTAATTTCTTAGCCAATGATATACACTTGTCCTTCAGGTCACTTCTGATTGAAACCGACTGACCTCATTTGGCTACTTCTGATTGGCTTACCAAATCACTACCCGATTGGGAAACGCAATAGACACATGTTTTATAAAAAAACAAGCATTCACAGTCTAAAATGTTTACCGAAACAAGTAACATAAACAAAGTGAATAGAAACTGGCATTTGATTTAGTGTAAAATGAGCACCATCCGAATTTTTGTGGTCAAAAATAAAATTCCCTGATGAGCCTTAGCTAACAGACAATCCAGACATAAGCTTTCCTTCCAACTAATTCCAACGTTTCAGTATGATAAATGTACTATAAGCTGCATGTGCAAACAGTTAAAACAAATCTAAAACGGTGACCGTTATTGCAAATTTTTACAGTTACAAAGTAGGTAATTCAGAAGTTTGAACAAGTCTTCTCTAGTTGAATAATTGTGATCTTATACAGTAGTCGTTGATGATGAATTGTTATACTACAATGATGAATATTGGGCAGACAGTTTTAGTTAAAGACAAGGTTAGTAGTTTTCATGAATAGTTAGGTGTTATGATAACCTAATACATAATGGGTTATCGGAATGACTAATTTGATTGAACTGATAATTCGCTTAAGAAACTGATTGAGGAAATACCAAAAAGTAGACAGTATCATTGACCAACATACTGAACACATGAGAAGATACTAGAAAATAAGATTTCCAGTCAATATAACAGAACTGTGTTTCTTGTCGGATGCGAAATGATAAAATAAGAATAAGAAATGGTTTAAAACGACCAGTGATTCTTTTTCCCACTGTAACCATGAATGGGCCCCTTTAAAAAGGAACCATTTAAATTACAATTTATTGTATGAGTAACACATTTTCGTCAACCAATTTACGTCATTACTGTTTGATTGACTTCACATATCGTCTCACAGCTTCTTCCTGTTCATCGTCAATTGATTTTGGCCTAAGTCGACGCAATTCCATAATGGCTTGATTGGCATCAAGATTGTTTTTGTAGGCAAGATAGCACGCTAAAATTGTTCCCGCACGACCTCTACCCAGTTGACAATGAACTCCAACTTTCTAAAAAAACAACCAAGCATTTCCAGAGAACGAATGTCGTATAAAAATGATAATTAGGTTAGCACTAGTCATAATCAACACTGCAAAGCCACTAACAAATAATCAAGAACAAAAGTTCCATGATCACTTACAAGCTAATTATTACTAGGATTCGTAATTACTTTCAAAATTGAACCTGTTACCAGATTCTCATAATTGGAATAATCAAGAACTACTAACCACTAACACACTTAAAGTAGAACCCGAATGCAGTCTAGGATACAAAAATAGAAAACTCTACCGTTCTACAACTTACTTATTCAGAGAAGCGACCTCCCCTGAGAAAGCCCACCAACCAGGAATCTGAAACAAAACTTGTCCTGAACTCTCCTTTCTACTTATTGCTGAATGCTCAATGCGAGTACACTTAACCGACACTGCATAGCTTTACCATCTAATGATACGACTTCAAAATAAGATCTTATAGATTGGGGAGTCACATCACGGAAAGTTCACAATATAGGACTATTGTTCTAGTAGCACTGACCTAAACCTGAATCTTACAAACCATCCAACCACATTGCAAGGTAGACCCTAACTTGGAATGGCCAAAACAAAAGAGGAGACATACCAAACAACACATGGTGACGTGAATAAGAGGCAAAAATCAAGACAATGAATAGCACCCGGTAATAACTAGAAAGGGAAGCTCAAGACAAATTTGATATCAGATTCCTGGCTGGTGGGCTATGTTCCAAGAGAAGGTGTATGACGAACAGTATGTTGAGTCCCGACTTAGCTTTCATCCCATGAAATAAACATTTCGTAGGTTAAGTATACATTACAATGCCGTCTACCCTACAAGTCAGATATTATCTGAAAATTAATGAAATGGGCACTCAGAATGGTGCAGTCAGTCAGCCAGTCAGTAACAACGTAGAACTTCGTACGTACGTACATCAGTTCGAGTTGCCACACCACATTAGCACAGAGATGCAGTGGTCGATTCAAATCTCGTAGTGGTAGAGGTAATAAAAGTATAAGCAGTAATCGGTAAGATTAGTGTTTGGAGATGTTACTTAAAGAGTATAATACAGTGAAATAAATTTGGGAAGAGAAAAAAATAACGAGGATTCAGGAGACTAAAATTTGGGAGAACACAAAGAGTGGATGCACCTGCGCCATTGCAAACGATTTTGAGCCATGTCATTCAGGGTCTCTAACCATCGGTTGCTATCATCTCGCGGTCCCCAACCAGGTAGTCTACACCTACCAACGTGGATCAGTTCACTTGTCAGTGACTTCATGGACTTGTGTCATGTTTTGGTCTGGCCGCCCCTAGCTTTCTTCCAACCTATTCCTATACCACTGAACATCGCACGTCGAGGAAGTCGGTGGTTGGGTATACGTAACACATGTCCCAGCCATCTCAACTGATGAAGTTTCACTACGTCATCAATTGATTTGCCATCCTTACCTAGTACCCGTTTCCTAACAACTGCATTACTTACTCCAACGTCCCAGGATATACGAGCAATGTTTCGAAGACACCTATGATCAAATACTAGTAACCTACGGATATCCTCTACTCTTACCGGCCATGTTTCACTGCCATAAAGTAGGACGGAACGAACTGCTGCACAGTAAACACGTCCTTTGGTTGATAGACGGATATCTCGCCTACGCCATAAATGACGCAAGTTGGCAAAAGCTAGTCGAGCCTTCTGTACCTGTGCTGAGATTTCGTCACACACCAGACCACAAGGGCTGATGAGACTTCCAAGATAAGTGAAGCAGTCGATACGCTCAACTACTTCACTCCCTATCGTTAGTTCGGGTGTCAATGCAACCCAATCCTGAAGCAACATTTTGCATTTCGAGGGAGAGAACCGCATCCCGAACATGCTTGCATTGTTGCTTAGAGTGGTCAGAAGACTCTGCATTTTGTCAGCGTCTTCACCAAATAAAACTATGTCATCAGCATATTCTAAGTCAACAAGTGAACCTCCCGGTAGAAGTTCAACCCCTGGAAATCTAGACGAGGAAGGTGTCATCTCTAAAAGTACGTCGACGACAAACTTGAACAAGAATGGAGAGAGTGGACAGCCCTGACGAACACCACTTGAGGTAATCAATCCTGATGACAGTTCGCCATAAGCCCTCACTCTACCAGTTGTGTTCGAATAAAGAGCCTTTACAAGGTTAATGTACTTCTTTGGTACTCCTTTCAGTGTCAAACACTGCCATAGAACCTCACGATCAACAGAGTCGAATGCCGCCTTAAGGTCGAGAAATACTACCATTGTGGGGCGTCTGAATGTGTGTCTGTGTTCTAGGACCTGACGTATTGTGAATATCTCGTCTATACAACCACATCCAGGTCGAAAACCAGCCTGGTTTTCTCTAATCTGCTCTTCACGAGCTTTGGTTAGGTGTCGAAGTATTATTGAAGCTAATATTTTAGACACTATATTAGTTAAGCTGATTTCTCTGTGATTGTCATAAGAGGACTTTTGCCATTCTTTATGGACTGTCACAATCAGTGATGCAGACCAGTTAGATGGGATTACGTCCAGTTCCCAAATTCTACCTAAGACCTCGGTCAATCTCGCTGCTAATACTGGACCGCCACCTTAAAAATCTCAGGAGTAAACCTGTCAGGGCCTGTTGTTTTCCCTCGCTTCAGATTTCCGATAACTTTTTCAACTTCATAAACAGTTGGAGAACCTACATTAAATTGCCATTCAGGTTGACTGGAGATCGTGGGAAACCGAAGTGTGGCTGAAGGCCAGTTGAACTGATCCCTAAAGTGTCCTGCCCATCTATCCAATCTCCTGGATTGAGAACGTATAATATGTCCATCTTTCTCTGAGTGTTTCGCTAACAGTCGGTTTCCTAATACCGGTTTCCTTAACAAGTCTGAACAATTGTCTGCTATTACCTATTGCCGCTGCCTTTTCCATCTCTCTTGCTTTCGCTACCCACCACTGTTCACGATCATTGCGTGGACTTCTTCTCAGCTTGCGCTTAAGCTGACTCCGCTCCTCATTATGTTGAGAGCCAGGTGGAATGAGTTTCCGAGCATCTATCAGTGCGGTAGATGCTGCTGAGATCCAGTGTTGCTCCCTAACTTTACGGGTTACCGTACTAGCAGATATCATTGATGTTTCCATAGCTTTTCGGATATCATTCCATGCTGCCTCGGGGTGGGCATCACATACATGGCTGTCTAACTGTTCCCCTAGTTGTTCCTGAAATATACTCTTAGCTTGACTATCATTAAGTAGGGCCCTAAAAGGTTTACTTGCAGCGTCTTTCTTACGTCCAATAAGACGCAGACAGATACGCGCTCGTACTAGAGCATGATCTGAATCTAAGCATGTGCTCCAGAATGAGCGACAGTCTTCTATTGAGCCCCTCCATCGGTGGCTGATGGCAATGTGATCTATTTGGGTCCAACGTTGGGACGAATTAGGGGGTCGCCATGTTAGAAGATGTTTTTCCTTATGCTTAAAGCTAGTATTTGCAAGAAACAGGCAGTTATCTGAGCATAGCTGCAACAGACGGTCGCCATTATCTGTTCTTTGAGCCACGACACTATAAGATCCGCCCAGGTGTCTTTCCCTATCGCTTAGTTTACCTACTTGAGCATTAAAGTCACCGGCCACTATTACTACATCAGAGCGCCTAGCTTTTAGGAGGAGGTTGTAAAGCTTCCTGTAAAACTCATCTTTTACATCATCTGCGCTGCAGTCAGTGGGAGAATAGGCAGAGACGACGAAGAGGCAACGACGAGTGTCCCTATCTTTTCGGATCCTTACTGTTCCTTTTAGTCGGACAGCGCATAAACGACTGTCTACTGGGATCCACCCTAAGAGACCTAGTTCTGCCCTAGGACTCAATACTATACGTACGCCGGCGAAGCCACGGGAAGCAGAATCAGGGCTGTCAGATACACGAAGTGTGAATCGAGTCGGTTCTTTATTTTGGCATGCTGAGGTCAAATGAATGACGCTACTTGGATCCTGTATGCGCGTTTCGGAGACGCAGCACACATCGATGGCGCGAGATTCTAAAGTCCTAGCTAAGGAAGCCTGCTGTCCTACTTAGCACAGTGTTCGGACTTTAAAAGCTCCTACGTGTAGTTTAGAGCGTGGTTTCAGGAGACGAGGAATCGCGTTCCACGTACTCGAATCGTTTGCCCTAGCGGTACGAGGTGATAAAAAGACGTGAGGAGGGTTAGTCATGGAGATAAGAGAGGTATTAGGAGGTGTAGGAAGGATTTGAATGTGACCACCGTGGTCTCTTGTGCTGTTACGGGTATGAGGGCTGATATCACTTCCAGGCTGCCCACACCGTGGAAGGGTATTTCTTGAGGAACCTGAAAACGAAATTGGATTAGTGTTGGTCTTAACGACCTGGGAGCGTGACCGCGAAGCCCAAGGGACAACTGCTTGAGGCCGGTCGCGCACGGCCTTTTCGTGGAAGGTTTTCGACGTGTTAGCTCCGTTCTTCAAATGGCATTACCGCCGGAGACGGAAATCCGTGAGGTAAGGTGAGGTGTGACATTGTTAGGGTCGACCTTTTCTAACCCCACCCCTCCTTGTGGGAAAGCAGCATCGCTGCAGATGCTGGTTGTCCGAGGGAAACACCTTACTGCTGTCACACCCCTCTACAGTCAGCAGTACGACTTCGCCCTCAGACCTTGAGTTGCTGCTTTTAGTCCTACCGTTCTACAATCGACCTGCGTGGCATGGTAGAACCTACAGGAACATATGTTCCAGCCAATATAGCTCGGTTGGGTCATCACGATAGGCAAGCCCGACCACCGCGTCAAGGTAGCAGCTTCGGTCGGGAGAATGGTGCAAACAAACCCGTAAGCTAAAGTTAGGCTTCATTCAATAACTAAGTAGTGAGAATAGTGAATACATGCACCTATAAACTAGCAAATAATTTGACTTTAATGGGTTACTGACATCAGAGTTTTACAAGGCATAAAATAATGAGTAAACGTTGAAATTCAGATAATGCGGTGAGAAGACGAAGTTGCCCCCAAATGCCCTGGTACGACCGAGAGTGGGTAGTCAGCTCTCCCTCTCAAAATGCTCTCATATGGCCACGTGCATACAATCACTGCCAAGGAAGTCCTACTCATTGCCTTCTCGTGGAAGAGGTGTTTACAAAATTGAGAGGACGAATGTCCAGTGCTTTAACCGAGTTGGTGGACACGGAGAGTCCACTTAAGGTAGTTGGAAAACCCTGATTCCAAACCAATGGTGCACATGGGCTACAGTATCCTGCGGGAACAAATGGCGTATGAACCAATAGTTTACTCCAAGGTTCCTTTTAATACAGAAAATATAGGGTTTTTATATTTTAAATGTCCTTGGGTTACTAGGAGATTCTGGAATGCTACTAAACATAGTAGCAGTATAACAACCAAACAATCAGAGCCTCTGCATGTGACGTTTCGATTTCTTGATATTTTTGGCTAAGACTCCAAGTGAACGCTGATTGGATGAAACGCTTCTTAGTGTTTCCTGATGCTTGCTTGTCTTTTGCAAGCAATTTTCTGGATCACCCCAACAGCAACCTGGCGCCCTCTCTCTGCACCTCAAACCTGAACTCATCGCGATCAGCTACCGCTAACGTGGTTGTGAGTGCCGATTCTTTGGACTGCCTATCTGGATTCTGATTATCCCGTTGTTCGTGCTAATCTTACTTTACTTTTCAGTGGTCAACAAATTCACCATCCTAAACAGATGGATGTCAGTAAATTGGTTGCAGCTTCTGTTGTAACTAAATATCGAACCGAGCTAGGTTCAAGGCTAGCTATCATCCCACCAAAAAGTATAGATGAGCAATTGCACGACGCCATGAAAATGGCGAGTAAAGTCGATTGCGGCTTCGCGAAACGTCCCGCTTGTAAGCAATGGGTTTCTTCTGGCCCCATACAACTCACTGAAGCCCGTCGGTCTACTCCGGGTGACCGTGAGTTTGACCACAAACGACGACTGTTACGTAATGAAATTGGGTAAAGCTTGAGTAAGGACTAATAAGCCTGGTGGTCAGGGCGTGCCAATTAGTTGGAAGCAGCAGCTGCATCTGGTAACTGCAGGAAGCCCTTTCAACCCATCTGACCCACTGGCAGCAAGAAGTCTGGTGTGAGCAAAACAATCTGTGAGGATGATGGGGTGCCAATCACTAACACCCATCGCCGTCTTGGACGATGGGCAGAGTTTTTCGAGGAGCAGTTAAACTGGTCTGCTGCCCCAGCAACATAGATCAGACTGTCCTGTCCTCCATAGCCCGTGACGACTGGTCCACCAAATGAGGCGGAAGTCCGCAAAGAACTCCAACTCTTGAAGTTCTACAAATCCCCGGGCCCAGATGACTTACCTCCAGCCCTTTTAAAGATGGTGGCGACCTTCTGGTTAAGGAACTAATCGCGTTGTTTACAAAGGTGATGTGTGGGCGAGAATGATAATAATTGATTCTCTGCTTAGTCAAACGTGTAGATATTCTGACAGTTGTCAGATGAGTTATATATTCCCATATCCTTATTATCACTTATTATTGATTGTTCACTGTTGTTGGATTGTGTCGGTTTTTGGTGTGGAAATATATTTACGTTCTAGTCAGGCTAATCACGTGTTCTTGATTTGAGTTGTGTTGAAGTCCTGTAGAATAGAAACTGGGAGGGAACCTAGTATAGATACTCGTCTAAGGTAAATTAACGTCCCATACGTGTAAAAGTGGAAACCCAACCGTTAAAGCATTAGGTGAAGTAAAACCGAGCGTTATAACATTGGCGACAGTGATTAGAACGGATCTACGCCTATATGTTCAATTAAAGTGGATTTTGTAACAATAAAATGGATGATTTGAAAAACTCATTGGAACGGCAAAATTCTCTTATCGAATTATTGGTCAAAATTATGTCACTATCCCCAAGAGCCAATGTATCTAATTCCACTATGACTCCGGATTCTATTGCAAATTCAATAAATGAATTTACATTTGATCCAAAATGTGGGATTACTTTTGAGGCATGGTTTAAACGCCATGAGGATTTGTTTACTAATGATTGTAAAGAGTGGGACGAAGGTTCAAAACTGAGATTACTATTACGGAAGTACGGGGTGTCTTAACATGAGAAGTTCTGTCATTTCATCCTCCCAAAGAAGCTAACGGACATAAACTTCGGAGAGACAGTGGAGTGTCTGACACGTACATTTGTTGAACGATCATCAGTTTTTCACACCAGTGTCTCCAGCTTGTAAAAAACCACAGGACGATTATATGACGTATGCAAGAACTAAGAACCGGGAATGTGAGCGGTTTCGTTTACAGGAAATGTCCTCAGATAAGTTTAAATGCCTTATTTTTGTCTGTGGGTTACAATCCGCAGTAGATGCTGTTATCAGAACATGGATTTTAGCGAGAATCGAACAAAATCCTAATATCAGTCTGCAATCAGTATCTGAAGAATGTCAAAGATTGGTTAATTTGAAGCATGACACAAATCTAGTAGAAAGAAACAGTGAACACGTGGAAGTTAAAACTTTGAGGAATGTTTTTTAATGGAAATAAAGATCCATACTCCTAGCGAATCCCAAATCAAATCAAACCCAAAACGTGTTGTTGGTGATGCGGTAAGCGTCATTCTGCTGATGTTTGCTATTTTAAAAAAAGAGTTTGTTTCCTTTGTGGTAAATATGGTCAGGCGAAAGTACGTTGTGAAAGTGGGAAAAAGATTGCCGACTATCAGTATAAGTTTCGTAAAGGAAATAAGACGCAGACGTAAAAAGAGATACCACATAATTCGAATATTGTTCTGGCCACAAAAGGTCCTTAATTTTCATCTAAAAGAAAGTACGTAACTATCTTTTTTTAATGGAAAACCGGTTAAGCTCCAAATTGGTACGGGGTCTGACAAAACATTAATTTCTAGAGAGACTTGGATAAAACTTAGTCGACCTCAATATCAACTTACATATTATAATGCTAAGAGTGCGACGGGAACTGGCATTACTCTTCTCGGAGAAATGCAGCTACCTCTCACACTAGGTGACAAGACTATGATCGGGAAATGTTATGTAACTGGAAACTGTCATACCAACTTATTAAGTATTGAATGGATGGATGAATTTGGTTTATGGGGTCTGCAGTTGAGCACTGTCTGCAATATGATTGAATCACCGGCCGAAACAATATTTGGCCGAACATTTTTTGATGTTTTGAACCCGAAAGACAGAATGAGTGGACTACCAAAAAATTAGAAAGAGGATTGCCCGAAGATTCGAGAATTTAAAGCAGATGACTTAGTCTACGCTTGTGATTTCCGGCCTGGCAAGCCGGTCATAAGGTTGATATCAAGTCAGCCTTTGTAGTATTATACAAGTGTTCAAGAGCGTATACTAAGGTTTATTGAATCCTTGGCTACGCGAAAACTGAAACCGTTTTACGTGTTCAAAAACAATTTGTTCTTACTCCTAACCCGCCCCGGTGATACTGATTTGTTGTCTAGACTGGTTTTCACATCGCGTACGTTATTATTAACTTTGTTTCCTTTTACATTCTAATTATTATGGTTGACCTATTTTTTATACATAATCTCTTAATAAGTAAATGTGTGGTCAGATTGTTCGAGATGCATTGCGCAAATACATCACATAATCCTGATAACCTTTGTCTTCTCATCACACTATTGAAACTTGTCAGAGGAGCTAATGATTTTAATAGTATAAAGCAAAATATTCATTGGACTATAAACCGACTTTATATCATAATAAAGACTTCTCTTCAAATGTAAATTAGAGCTTACTTCATTATTTGTTTCAGCTCGTTTGATAATTTCCATTGCTTTCTGAATAACAGGCAAGCTTGCAGAGGTTAAATCTTCGACGGGTAAGTGATAATGTTTAACCGCTAAGAATGGAAATTGGACAAATAGTATGTTTCTAAAGAAAATTTAAATTATAATGGTGAAATATTTCTAAATCTAGTACATTTACACACGAAGACGTACTTCTTTAACTATATTTTGACAAGATTACATAATGAAGTACGGGATTATCAAAATTAATCATGTTTCCATTTGAACCATACTTCGAGGAACTCCTGAATAGGCCGGCTCCAATGAATCCAGTGGACATCGAAGCAGCACACATAGATCTTCCTATAGATGTCAATCCACCAACTACGGAAGAAATTAGAATGGCCGTCAGACAAATCAAGAACGGGAAAGCAGCAGGACCCGACAACATACCAGCTGAAGCACTGAAATCAGACATCGAAACAACCACAAGCACGCTTTATCTTCTATTCAAAAAGATTTGGGAGGAGGAACAAGTGCCGATGGACTGGAAAGAAGGACACCTCGTCAAGATTCCAAAGAAAGGAGATCTGAGCAAATGTGAAAACTACAGAGGCATAACACTACTGTCAATACCAGGGAAAGTCTTCAACAGAGTGTTGCTGAACCGGATGAAGGATGCAGTAGACGCCCAACTTCGAGATCAACAAGCTGGATTCCGTAAGGATCGGTCGTGCACAGACTAAATTGCAACACTACGGATCATCGTCGAACAATCAGTTGAGTGGAACTCATCATTATACATCAACTTCATTGATTATGAAAAGGCATTCGACAGTGTAGATAGGAGGACGTTATGGAAACTTCTTCGACACTACGGAGTTCCTGAGAAGATTGTCAATATTATCCGGAACTCATACGACGGACTACAGTGCAAAGTAGTGCATGGAGGACAGCTGACAGATGCATTCCAAGTACCCGACCGTTGTTGCTACCTTGACATGGTGGTCGGGCTTGCCTATCGTGGCTGGAACAACCGTTCCTCAAGGTCCTACCATGTCAGACAGGTCGGTTGAAGAGCGGTAAGACTAAAAGCAACAAACCCAAGGTCCGAAGGCGAAGTCGTACTGCTGACTGTACAGAGGTGTGACAGCAGTAAGGTGTTTCCTTCAGACAACCAGCATGACAGCGATGCTGCCTTCCCACAAGGAGGGGTGGGGTTAGAAAAGGTCGACCCTAAAAATGCACACCTCACCTTACCTCACGGATTTCTGTCTCCGGCGGTAAGGCCCTTTGAAGAACGGAGCTAACACGTCGAAAACCTTCCACGAAAAGGCCGTGCGCGACCGGCCTCAAGCAGTTGTCCCTTGGGCACTGCGTTCACGCTCTCAGGTCACTGAGACCACCTCTAATCCAATTTCCTTTTCAGGTACCTCCAGAAGAACCCTTCCACGGTGTGGGCAACCGGGAAGTGATAACCGCCCTCATACCTCTAACAGCACCCAAGACCGCTGTATTCATAATCAACCTTCCTCTTCAATTCCTATTATTCCTCCTACATCGACTTTCAACCCTAAACTTCCTCCTTCGGCTTCCTCCTCAAGTGTCACCATAGCCAACGATTCTAGTGCTCAAAACTCTGTCCCAGGTCTACTGAAACCTCGCTCCAAACTACACATTGGAGCTTTCAACGTATGCACTCTATGTCAAGTCGGTCAGCAGGCTTCCTTGGCTAAAACCCTAGAGTCTCTTTCCATTGATGTATGCTGTGTCTCTGAAACACTCATACAGGATCCCAGTGTGGTCATTCACTTGACCTCACCTCGGCAAAACGGAGAGCCAACGAGATACACCCTTCGTGTATCTGGTGACCCGATGGCCAGTTCTCGTGGACTGGCAGGTGTAGGCATAGCACTAAGCATGAGGGCCGAACAAGCACTGCTAGAGTGGATCCCCGTCAACAGTCGTCTATGTGCTGTTCGACTGAACGGCTACGTAAGAACTCGGAAGGATAGGGACACACGTCGTTGCCTTTTTGTCGTTTCTGTCTACGCTCCCACTGACTGCAGCTCAGATGAAGTGATAGATGAATTTTACAGAAAACTTTCTGAACTTCTTCAGAAAGCTAAACGCTCAGACATAGTACTCGTAGCAGGTGATTTTAATGCTCAGATAGGTAGCTTAAACCAAACAGAAAGGCATTTAGGTGGATATTTTAGTATTCCGACACAGCGAACAGATAATGGTGATCGTCTGCTGCAGCTATGCTCAGACAATCGTTTATTTTTAGCAAACACAAATTTTAAGCATAAGGAGAGACATCGTCTAACATGGCGACCCCCTACACCAAACCAACGATGGACTCAAATAGACCATATTGCCATCAGTCATCGTTGGAGAGGGTCGGTAGAAGATTGTCGCTCATTCTGGAGTACCTGCTTGGACTCCGACCATGCCCTAATACGGGCACGCATCTGCTTGCGCCTCACTGGACGCAAAAAAGCCACATTAAAAAGATCCGTTAGAACTGAGTTGAGTAACGAGAAAACCAAAAGTAGGTTCCAGGAACAACTGAGGTCACACTTAGGTAGTTGTGAAGACGAGGCTGACCCAGATGTTGCTTGGAAGGGCATACAATCAGCTGTGGAAACAGCAGTGACATCTATTAGTGACTTAAACCACAGAGTTGCAAGGAACCAGTGGATTTCTTCAAGGTCTGTCACACTGATGGATTCTCGCAAACTCGTCCCATCAGGTTCTGAACATGATGAAGAGCGAAAACAAATCAGATCTAGGTTAAGAAAAAGTCTAAGGAACGACCGTGAGCAGTGGTGGGTAACGAAAGCAAAAGAGATGGAAAAGGCGGCGACTATAGGGAACACAAGACAGCTTTACAGACTAATAAAAGAAACTGGAATTAATAAGTCAAGTGTAAGTGAGATTATTTCGGAAAAAGATGACACTCTCATCTGCTCCCAGTCCAGACGTTTAGAACGATGGGCGGAACATCTTAGAGAACAGTTCAGCTGGCCTTCAGCTACACTACAACTACCCTCCATTCCCAGACAATGTGAATGGAACATTGAAGTAGGTCCCCCAACTCTTGCTGAAGTTCAAAAGGCTATAGTTAATCTGAAACGAGGAAGGGCAGCTGGTCCAGATGGATTGGCTCCAGAGGTCTTTAAGGATGGTGGTCCAATTTTAGCGATTAGGTTGACTAATATTTTAGCTAAGATCTGGGAATTAGACTTTATCCCATCTGACTGGTCGCAATCACTCATCGTCCCAATATATAAGAAAGGGTCAAAATCATCCTGTGACAACCACAGAGGGATTAGTTTAACAAACATAGTATCTAAAATACTGGCTTCGATAATTATCAGACGCCTAACTAAGACTCGTGAACTACAAACTCGAGAGAACCAAGCTGGCTTTAGACCTGGTCGTGGCTGCATCGACCACATATTCACCATTCGTCAGGTTCTAGAACACAGGCATACCTATCAGCGTCCGACGATGGTGGTCTTTCTTGACTTAAAAGCAGCGTTTGACTCTGTAGACCGCGAGACTCTGTGGCAGTGTCTGTCATTGAAAGGCGTGCCTCAGAAGTACATAAACCTTGTGAAGGCTCTTTACTCGAACACTACTAGTCGAGTCAGAGCTTATGGCGAACTGTCATCTACTTTTGCAACCTCAAGTGGTGTCCGTCAAGGCTGTCCACTTTCTCCATTTTTGTTTAACTTCATCATAGACCTATTGATGGAAATAACACTCTCGTCGACTGAATTCTCGGGTATTGATCTCCTTCCAGGAGGTCCACTTATCGACTTAGAATACGCAGATGATATAGTCCTGTTTGGTGGAGACGCTGACAAAATGCAGAGTCTTCTGGTAGCACTAAGCAACAATGCCAGAATGTTTGGGATGCGCTTCTCTCCCTCTAAATGCAAGTTGTTGCTTCAGGACTGGTCTGCGTCAACACCTGAACTAAGGATAGGGAGTGAAGTAGTCGAACGCGTCGACAACTTCACTTATCTTGGAAGTCTGATCAGCCCTAATGGCTTGGTGTCTGACGAAATCTCAGCACGGATTCGAAAAGCTCGTTTGGCTTTTGCCAACTTACGTCACCTTTGGCGGAGGCGAGATATCCGTCTATCAATAAAAGGACGAGTATACTGCGCGGCAGTCCGTTCTGTCTTACTTTACGGCAGCGAAACATGGCCTTTAAGAGTAGAAGACACCCGTAAGCTACAAGTATTTGACCACAGATGCCTTAGAAATATTGCTAGCATCTGCTGGGATCACCGGGTAAGTAATAGTGAGGTTAGACGCAGGGTATTAGGGAATGATGGTAAATCAGTTGATGAGGTTATGAATCTTCATCAACTGAGATGGTTGGGCCACGTATTACGTATGCCTGAACACCGATTACCATGGCGTGCAATGCTAACCGGTGTAGGGGTTGGTTGGAAGAAAGTTAGGGGCGGCCAAACCAAAACGTGGCATCAGTGCTTGAAGTCACTAACTTCTAGTCTGAGCCATGTTGGTAGATGCAGACTACTTGGTTGGGGTCCGCGTGACTATCGTAACCAATGGTTGGAGACTCTTTGTGACAGGGCTCAGAATCGATCACAATGGCGTAGGTGTATACACTCCCTGTCTTCCCTTAAACTAAGAGATTAAAATCACTTCATATCTTTCTTTCTACGAACTAATTCTTCCTTCCTATACTATATCCTTATTGCAACCTTTGACCTAACCACTGCTATGAATCCGGTGTTCATCTTGTTGTGCTAATGAGGTATGGCAACCTGGACCGATGCACATATGTGCCTGGTCCTACGTTGTAGCTGACTGACTGACTGACTGCATTCCAAGTAAGGACCGGAGTCAGACAAGGCTGTTTACTCTCTCCCTTCCTCTTTCTTCTGGTGGTCGACTGGATTATGAAGACCTCAACATCTGAAGGAAAACACGGAATACAATGGACAGCTCAGAATCAATTGGACGATTTGGACTTCGCAGATGACCTAGCTCTCCTATCACGTACACACGAACAGATGCAGATGAAGACAGCCAGTGTAGCAGCAGTCTCTGCATCAGTAGGCCTCAGTATACACAAAGGGAAAACGAAGGTCCTCAAATTCAAAGCGGAAAACAGCAATCCAATCACACTTGATGGCGAAACTCTGGAAGATGTAGAGTCCTTCACATACCTGGGAAGCATCATCGATGAACAAGGAGGATCCGATGCAGACGTAAAGGCGAGGATCGGCAAAGCAAGGGTCGCATTCCTACAATTGAAGAACATATGGAACTCAAAACAACTTTCAACCAATATCAAAGTGAGAATCTTCAATACGAACGTCAAGGCAGTTCTACTGTATGGAGCTGAAACTTGGAGAACTACAACAACCACAATCAAGAAAGTAAAAGTATTTATAAATAGCTGTCTTCGCAAGATACTCAACATCCATTGGCCGGATACCATCAGCAACAGCCTTCTGTGGGAGAGGACAAACCAACTTCCAGCTGAAGAAGAAATTAGGAAAAGACGATGGAAATGGATAGGACATACATTACGCAAATCGTCAAACTGCATCACGAGGCAAGCCCTAACTTGGAATCCTGAAGGGAAGCGAAAAAGAGGAAGGCCAAAGAACACATTGCGTCGGATAATAGAAGCAGATATGAAAACGATGAATTACAACTGGACGGAGCTAGAAAGGATTGCCCAGGACAGGGTTGGATGGAGAATGCTGGTGAGCGGCCTATGCTCCTTCACGAGGAGTAACAGGCGTAAGCAAGCAAGCATTTGAACCAGCTTGCGAATTGACTTTCAGAAAATTGCGAAACTCCTGATGAACACTTGATATTAGAGACCAAAGCTTGAGAAATGTTCATAAAAACGAAAAAATGGGAATCATTATATTTGACCTGGGTATTTCATAAACCAGTTCTTATTATAAGTGCTGCTATTTTGACGTAGTGGTCTCATCTGCCAGTTCTGATGACGCAATCAAGCTCTATGAAGGTAGTAAGATGTTTTCCAAGGACAACTAACATCTCCAAAATCCTGTCCTTACGCAGATTTTCGGTGTCAGTAGTAGTTTTACTGTGCTACATAATTCTATGAGCAGCAAAAACTTGGAAGGATAAGGATAGACTCTGCATACATTCCCGTTGATTACAGCTCGAACGAGACCAAAGATGAGATTTACCGAAACTCAGAGTCCCTTCGATGCGAATTTCTACCGACTGAGAGGTTTAGCATAACCACTACTTACCTTATTCCCTAATGGAGTAGTAAGAAAAATGATAGGAAATATTATACCAAGATGTGGTATCACTCTGTCAAGTCATTAACTACTGGTCTGAAGCATGTTGATAGGTGCACAGTACCAGGTCAAGGTTCACGCGATAATCATGATTAGTGGTTGTACACATAAGGTGGTATAGTTCAAAAGTAGTCACAACAGTGGAGAATCACTAATTTTCTTATATCCCCTTATATTATGAGTTTCAAAATTACTCTATACTTTATAACCCCTTATTTCTTCTAAAATGATATTCTCAGTCCTTGGTATTTTTACTACTGCATAGTGTCATCATTTAGGTCGCTATAGTATTCATCCTGTCAACTTCATTTAACTGTGCTCGTGTAGTGGGATAACGGGTTCATATACAATTGTGAAGTCCCATGTAATAACTGAATTCCTCTAAAAACTAAAAGCTCAGATATAATAATTGTGGTGGAGGGTTTTAACGCCCAAGCGGGTGAGCGAAGTCAAGCGCGAAAATATTGAGGTACGGCTTCCAATATTCAGATCAAGCCCATATGATTGGTTATTCTTACCAAGCACAAGGTTAAGGGATGAAAAGTATAATATACAAACTCCTGATGTTAATAGAACGATAGACAAATGGGTCACCATCATGACATGATTGTAAGTCAATAGAACTGTTATTTCTACTGTAGCATATATCCAGACTTTGACCAAGTTCTGGTGTTGGCATGAGCTTTTATGAGACTTAGTGGAGGCAAGGAGATTTCATCAAGTCTTTACAGAGTTCAGTTCTAAAATGAAAATGTCAAATGTTTGAAGAAAAACTGAATAAGCGCTTAGTATACCATAAACGGGATGTTTACTCGGAGATCATTCAGTCAAACGAAAAGTAGAACATGAGGTATTCGTGCATTGCTTTAAGCTGCCGCATCACACCGAGATGTCAGAGCAGTAACAGTGTTAATGGCAGTAGGAAAAAGTAGGCGTATATCTGATTCAGGAAAAAATGGTTTTGTAGAGTACAATATGATTAAGAAACTTAGGATCTAATGAAAGACAGCGTGGATGCCCCTACGCCAGTTACAACGATTATGAGCCATATTATCTGAAACCTCTAGCCACTAGTTACGACAATCGCGTTGACCACAAACAAATATTCTATACGGCCCAGTCCAACAGTCAATGGTCTCATGAATTGACACGACGTCTTGGTTCAGTTACCCCTAGCTATGTTCCAACTAATTCTTACGCCAACAAACAACGTGCGTTAAGGTAGACAGTGGCTGGGCATACATATTACATGTCCTAACTACCTCAGTTGGTGAAGATTCACTACTTCATCAAGTGGTATTCTATCCTTGCTTAGCACCTTGCCATTAGCATCAACATCGTCCACTCGGTGCTCCTAAAATATAAGAACAATGTTTCAAAGTCATCTCATGGACATAACAAAGTAAAACAGAAGTGATTAACTGTATACTCGTCTTTTGGTTGGTAAACGGAAATTTAGCCTTCACTACAAGTGACGCATGTTGACGAAAGTAAAACAGAAGCAAAAGGTCAAGGAAGACCAATCGAACTTTGGAGGTTCTGCTAGACTAGTATATGCTTAGGAACGTATCAGTGGGTCCATTACCAATGAGGGAGCAAAGAAGATTGAAATAGAAACGAACAAAGACTACGTGGTAATCGAGAGGTGGTGGGTAACAAAAACAAAATAATGGGAACAGTAGTGGTGATGGGTAACATGAAGCAATTGTTCAGGAAGATAAGGGATAAAAAGTCGATTGTTAGCAAAATTATCTCTCGGGGAGATGGACTACTTTCAAATCGAGCAACCAGAATTATGAGCGAAAAACGCTGCAGCAGTTTAACTGTTATCAAGCTACAGTCTAACTACCCAGTACTCACTAACAGCCTGAACAATAGAGCACTATCGATCTCACAGAAATCGAGAAGGCAACGACTCGATGGAAATATAACAGCTGACTAATTGTTTTCTGAGGTCTATCTTCAGCAGTTAGATTGACTGACAAGTTAGAGAATGGGAACCGGGATATAATTTTTCCCAACTGATTGTGACCAACGATCATTCCGATTTATAAACGAGGATGAAAATCCTAGTGTGACAACCACAGAGCAGTCCATAAGACTGATAATGAACCTAAAACAATATCATTTACTATCATCCAACACTTAGCTATTTGAGGTTTTTAAACTTAAAAAAGGTTATTCCTAGACCTAGCACTGACTGAATACATATCATTTGTGGTTTTAGGACATAAACAATTTTAATAATGTTCGGCTATTTAGGCTCCTTAATTTAGGCTTTTTGGATTAACATGTTTTATGGCCATATGTATCACTGATAAGTGTAACAAATTATGGAACCAACAAGTGGGTAATGCTAAGGATTAAGGATGTATGGTAAACGAGGAGATCAATCGATAAAGATGCAAACCTCAATCATATGCCACCACAGTCTACCCCATTTACCGCTGGCCCAAGAGTAGGTTGAGAAAGTCTAGGGTCATGTAGATCAAGACATGAAATTAATCCATCAGTGACTGACGTAAACTATACCGTTAAGTTTGGATTTCCTGATTAGTATTCCAATGATAGGATCAATCCACGGTTTAATTAGGGTATAAAAAAGGTCAAAGAGGTACAGATATATTCATTTTGATTTAAACTAAACCTTGAGATGAAATTAATAACTGTGTTTTTGTTTGAGTAACAGCAACAAGTATGACTGCCTCGAAAGTGGTGTGACTAAAAACCAAGTACACGAAAAGTATGACTGGAAAATATGGATTATCTTTCTTATAACGGTTCAGTGTTATCACTTGAATACCTCTGAGCTCTTACTACCTAAACTCAGTCGTTATATATGGTGCATGGTGTGGAAGTTACTATGATGACTTCGTGAAACATATCCAGACGGACTGAATTACTATCGCTGACGACCATTGATGACGAAAATAAATTTTCCTAGAAGTGGATATGTCAATGCGGAGAACAAATGTACATGACTTCTAAATGACACTAATGATTAGTTAGCTGACTTTGTGATATATCTCCTTTGATGTGTTGTTGTAAAATGCATCGCATACAAAATGTGTTCAGTCAACTTCCTACTTCCTTGATGTCATTTAGGTAACTAGGCAGTATGTTCACAAATATCAACCAGTCCCGATGAACTCGACAGAACATAGGGAAAGCCGTTATATTAGCATTCTTAACGAAGAGTTTACTTCGAGCTGAAATCTTCAAAGTTACCTGGTGATTGTGGCTAGCACCTCGAGCTTCCAATTTTGGGGAAACTGCCGAAGTCAATTGACCTTCACCAATGTTTGGGGAATTTCCCCGTGTCTGGGGAAATTTGGGGGTTTTAGTGCCATTTCTCCAAAATCTCCCTAAAGTTTACTATAGAGGCTTCCTCAAAATGTGTTAAATTTTCCCCAGAATTGGGAGCATAGGAATTAGACTGGTATAATATTTTATTTTTCGCAAATAGCCAATGAAATATCGCATAGTCCGAATAACTTACACGTGAAATCCGAAATGTACTGGGGAACTTCATGGCACAAAGTAATTATATGGCTTATCCCAGCGTTGTCTACTAGATATTCTAGCTCATACTTTTCCCATGGAAAGGCGAACCCGGCTACAGATTTCGAAACCCAAGAGAAGTTAGACGGTGGACGGGACATGATGTATCGATAAGTCGACACAGCGACGGCAGCGCTTCAGTGGTATCGTCTACAGTTGGAGGTTGCGAGCACTTGAAGGTCAAACTGTCGCAAGATGATTGTTGTGTCACATCGATAATTCGTGAAAATTTTCAGAAGCGGTCAAATCAAGACATTTTTAGATCTTGAGTTCAGCCACACCACATCTGATAACGTTCATTCTTCAAGTAACGAAGACGATGCCATCGTGATGATGCATGATATAAGACGAATCTTCAATGATATTATGTTATATCGAAGATTTACAAGTTGGGACAATTTTGCGACCTGTTTGAAAGAAGTACATAATGCAATATGACTTTTGTGGTTAATAATTACTTTTTTAGTATACGCATACTAAGTACGTGATGTCAGTATGCAGAAAGAACAGTTGTAGTGACTCACGTTTATCACGAGAACACGACTGGTTTAATAAAAACAATTATTATTATAACCAAGTGTACCAGTGTTTGTTTTAACGTGCTTTTGTTTGACTGTGCTAATGACAGCTATTTTGTGCTTCCATTCTTTTACTTACACTTTGATTGTAACTTCGCGCGAATTCGGTTACGTTCTGTAACCAAGCTTGTATCCTGGCACGATCTCGGTATCCTTTCGATGCCACGAGATCGCCAGCAAATAAACATCGACTTGGTCCATTAATTGCCTTCTGGTATTCGGCTTCTCGGGGATTTTATGGAGTCATTTGGAACGAGCTTCTTACGCCTTCTGATCTATTTGGCACGTGTTTCTTGGTAGCGGTGTTCATAGTTAATCTCAACTCGACGCCACGCTACAATTGGTAATCCCAATTCGAATACACAGTGATGATCCAACTCCAAAGTACTTTTTCGTGAGATATGTCTGTACATATGGACGTAAACGCAGTTCGTCAGAGTCAGATGCTTGCGTTCAGGATGTAGATGATGATAGTAATCATCATTCTTCTGAAGAGCATACAACTTCTAAGTCACCACCACAACCTAGACAAAGAAGACGACGTCGGTCATCTACGTATGCTTTACTTCAAATGGATTTATCCTTCAGGTCGAAATATTGCCATTGTCAATCTGGATTTGGGGGCTGTGCAATAAATGGTGAGCTGAAACTCACCTCCATTAAGACCGTGCACAACCATCCTTGCAATGAAGGATATATTTCTGTCAATCCATCGAGACGACAGTTGACGCCAAGTGAACGCTTATATTTAAGAACGTTTCTATTGAGTAATACACCAACTCGTAGCTTACGGTATCTGGTTTCTTGGAGGTTTCATAAACAGCTTACCAAGGACGGTATCGCCAGAATGCGTTCACAGTTGTACCCAGGTTGTTGAACTCACATTGTAATTAATTAAGTTTAGACACTAAAAATATCAATGACATTTTACAGCGCGTTCGAGCAAATACTGAAGTTAAAGTATTCAATGAACATGGGAACATATCTATGATTTGCTCCAGTCGCAGGGAGCGAATAGCTGGGCAAGGGCACACTGTTATATATGCTCTTTGCAGTCAAGAACGACATGAAGATGCCGAAAAACTATTGGAAGGCTTTAAAGAGGTAATGTGCGGTACTTATGACACACGCACTTTCATCATGGATTCGGCAGCGATCGAAATTTCAGCAGTGAAGTCTACGCACAGTCATTCTAACATAGTACTTTGTTCATTCCATGTCTTGAGGGCATTTTTCAGGAAGGTATGTGTTAGCTGTACAAATTATTTTCTGTAGTTCCGAAATCTTGATGTACGCAAATGCTTAGAACACCTTGTGAAGACTAGACGGTCTGACATGTGAGGTCCGCTTTTCATAACGCACTATATTCAGATTTACTCAGAAGTACGAACATCTAAGAATCCATTACCCACGTGCGTATGGTTACATAAAAGATTACTGGATTGCCAGGAAGTCAATGTGGGCTCGCTGTTACCGGCGACATGTATCAAACCTGGGCAACCACACAAACAACCGTGTCGAAAGTACTCATGAACACCTAAAAGAATGTCTCGGAAGAGGTGATTCTCTGTTACAGACGTTCTGGAAAATGTGGAGTAAAACAGACACCGACCTACGTTTGCATCCATATGACACTGTAAAGAATCTTCAATGCTTTCCAATTCTTCAGGTAAGGAATATTGTTAAATGTATCATTAATTCCAGGTTCCAATCTCATTTCGAACTCTTTTAAATAAGTTTACATCTTTTGCAGCTAAAATTGTAGCTGCAAAATTATAAACGTGTTAGGACAATGAGACACGAATTTATAGAAGGAGAATACATCCAGTGCTACGACAAGGGTATGATGTATGTTGTTGATACTTGATGTGCACGATGTGCTTGCGAACGTTTCAATGACTACATGCTGCCCTGTGATTATATTCTGTATGCGCATTCTAAAGATCTAATTCGTGGAGGTGTGTGTTCCTTTCTCTCTATGAGCTTTGCAGACTTGTTTCGACGTAGCAACCGGTGGACAAGCAAATACATAATGGACTTGGTTCTTCGTGCTCTGGACAACATGTCACTCTCTACAGGGAGTGGTGATCCGTTAGAGAAGTTCACTAACAACTACCACGACTGTCTACTGGGATCCACTCTAAGAGACCTAGTTCTGCCCTAGGACTCAATACTATACGTACGCCGGCGAAGCCACGGGAAGCAGAATCAGGGCTGTCAGATACACGAAGTGTGAATGGAGTCGGTTCTTTATTTTGGCATGCTGAGGTCAAATGAATGACGCTACTCGGATCCTGTATGCGCGTTTCGGAGACGCAGCACACATCGATGACGCGGGATTCTAAAGTCAAATGAATGACGCCTCACCACGCCAAAATAAAGAACCGACTCGATTCACACTTCGTGTATCTGACAGCCCTGATTCTGCTTCCCGTGGCTTCGCCGGCGTACGTATAGTATTGAGTCCTAGGGCAGAACTAGGTCTCTTAGGGTGGATCCCAGTAGACAGTCGTTTATGCGCTGTCCGACTAAAAGGAACAGTAAGGATCCGAAAAGATAGGGACACTCGTCGTTGCCTCTTCGTCGTCTCTGCCTATTCTCCCACTGACTGCAGCGCAGATGATGTAAAAGATGAGTTTTACAGGAAGCTTTACAACCTCCTCCTAAAAGCTAGGCGCTCTGATGTAGTAATAGTGGCCGGTGACTTTAATGCTCAAGTAGGTAAACTAAGCGATAGGGAAAGACACCTGGGCGGATCTTATAGTGTCGTGGCTCAAAGAACAGATAATGGCGACCGTCTGTTGCAGCTATGCTCAGATAACTGCCTGTTTCTTGCAAATACTAGCTTTAAGCATAAGGAAAAACATCTTCTAACATGGCGACCCCCTAATTCGTCCCAACGTTGGACCCAAATAGATCACATTGCCATCAGCCACCGATGGAGGGGCTCAATAGAAGACTGTCGCTCATTCTGGAGCACATGCTTAGATTCAGATCATGCTCTAGTACGAGCGCGTATCTGTCTGCGTCTTATTGGACGTAAGAAAGACGCTGCAAGTAAACCTTTTAGGGCCCTACTTAATGATAGTCAAGCTAAGAGTATATTTCAGGAACAACTAGGGGAACAGTTAGACAGCCATGTATGTGATGCCCACCCCGAGGCAGCATGGAATGATATCCGAAAAGCTATGGAAACATCAATGATATCTGCTAGTACGGTAACCCGTAAAGTTAGGGAGCAACACTGGATCTCAGCAGCATCTACCGCACTGATAGATGCTCGGAAACTCATTCCACCTGGCTCTCAACATAATGAGGAGCGGAGTCAGCTTAAGCGCAAGCTGAGAAGAAGTCCACGCAATGATCGTGAACAGTGGTGGGTAGCGAAAGCAAGAGAGATGGAAAAGGCAGCGGCAATAGGTAATAGCAGACAATTGTTCAGACTTGTTAAGGAAACCGGTATTAGGAAACCGACTGTTAGCGAAACACTCAGAGAAAGATGGACATATTATACGTTCTCAATCCAGGAGATTGGATAGATGGGCAGGACACTTTAGGGATCAGTTCAACTGGCCTTCAGCCACACTTCGGTTTCCCACGATCTCCAGTCAACCTGAATGGCAATTTAATGTAGGTTCTCCAACTGTTTATGAAGTTGAAAAAGTTATCGGAAATCTGAAGCGAGGGAAAACAACAGGCCCTGACAGGTTTACTCCTGAGATTTTTAAGGTGGCGGTCCAGTATTAGCAGCGAGATTGACCGAGGTCTTAGGTAGAATTTGGGAACTGGACGTAATCCCATCTAACTGGTCTGCATCACTGATTGTGACAGTCCATAAAGAATGGCAAAAGTCCTCTTATGACAATCACAGAGAAATCAGCTTAACTAATATAGTGTCTAAAATATTAGCTTCAATAATACTTCGACACCTAACCAAAGCTCGTGAAGAGCAGATTAGAGAAAACCAGGCTGGTTTTCGACCTGGATGTGGTTGTATAGACGAGATATTCACAATACGTCAGGTCCTAGAACACAGACACACATTCAGACGCCCCACAATGGTAGTATTTCTCGACCTTAAGGCGGCATTCGACTCTGTTGATCGTGAGGTTCTATGGCAGTGTTTGACACTGAAAGGAGTACCAAAGAAGTACATTAACCTTGTAAAGGCTCTTTATTCGAACACAACTGGTAGAGTGAGGGCTTATGGCGAACTGTCATCAGGATTGATTACCTCAAGTGGTGTTCGTCAGGGCTGTCCACTCTCCCCATTCTTGTTCAACTTTGTCGTCGACGTACTTTTAGAGATAACACTCTCCTCATCTAAATATACAGGGGTTGAACTTCTACCGGGAGGTTCACTTGTTGACTTAGAATATGCTGATGACATAGTTTTATTTGGTGAAGACGCTGACAAAATGCAGAGTCTTCTGACCACTCTAAGCAACAATGCAAGCATGTTCGGGATGCGGTTCTCTCCCTCGAAATGCAAAATGTTGCTTCAGGATTGGGTTGCATTGACA